ATTTCGAAAAGTTTCAATAATTTAAAATTATGATGTCAAAATAAAATATATATACATATGTATTGTATATACACTTTTCCTTTTATATAGGCTCTTTACTTTCTGTTATATTTATTTGCAATTATTTAGAGCAGTGTCTGAGTTTCAGATACAAAATTGCATCTTAATCTTACAAAATTACGGAGGCACTTTTTTACACTTTCTCATTAAGATATGCTTAGACAACGTAAAATCTTCCGCTTTACATTCTTCTTGGATTTGCTTTGATTTTTTTTCTTTGATTTTTTTTTTTGCATATTTAAGTCCCACTTTACACCAAAAACGACAGCAAGATAAAATGTGTGTAAACTTTTTGTGATGTGTTAAGGAGCCAACGCCTGAAAATAAATGCAATTGTCTCACGACATGATACTATTAGATCGAATGAAGTGATATTTTGCACATTTTTTTGCTTTTAAGTAGAGTTGACTTTGTATTCTGTTTTCAGTACAGTCTTCTGACTGAAACAGAACGAAGAAATGATATAACAGTTATGATTGAATATATGAGAAGCATGTATATTATTATTATTAATGTTACGATTGTTATTTTAAGTGATATCATTATCTTAGTCATACTCTAAAGTTGTAAATAAAGTAGTATTTAAAAGGTTAGGTTAAAAGGTTGATGTCTTCTTTTTTGCTGTTGTTTTTATTTATTTGTGCGTGTGTGTGTGGGGGGGGGGGGATTATGCTTGGAAGAAAACTGCTATGCTTTCATGACGTCATGGCTTGAATAACAGCCAAAGCAACATTTATAATGTAATTTCAAAGAGTAATATATAATATTATTTCCAATTACGTAAACTGTATTACATGAATATTTATTTAAGGGATGCGGCTTATGTTCAACGCAACAGAATATGTTGAGTTGAGAGTGCCGATGTTTTTATTGCACTGCCAATAGAGATTGGGAACGTAGCAAGCTAAAACAAAAAATAGCTGAATGCAATTCATTTAAATGTTCGAACTCCAGATTCACAGGCACTTTTTGCTGTCATTTATATAAATGTAACATCTTCTTTCAATGTTCCCCTAACTGTCCCAGAGCTGTAATAACAACAACAATATTACGTACCACTTAGATCTATATAATATAAGAAAACCAAAACATAAAACAACATTCATTTATCAGTTTATTATATTGGAAGCGACAACAACAATGGCACCCATTTATTCTTCAAATACATACTTATAAAATCTAATTAAATCAGTTATTCTTTATTGTCATTGTTGCAAATATCCAACACTGTGACCTTCATTACTTTGTTCAAATTCAACACAGTTCATCATAACATCATAGAGTGAAATATGTCTCCATCTTAATCTATATGAAAACTTCAAATATTGAATAACATGTACATACAAATAGCATTTTTTTTCTTATGATTTTCTGTAATGTATCATACAATAAAACATTTGAATACGTATTCAACAATTTTATAAGAATCTTACACTGGCTATCGGTACAGACCGGGATAGATCTAGCTCGAGTGTAACTGTTTACGGTGGTGACGAGGCTCTAAACAGTTAAGTACTGAGTGCTAGATATTCCCGTCTGTACCGACAACCGGTGTTTTATTCTTTTTCTTGCATATCACATATCAATTATACAGAAATTACGAAAACTGATATTCTCATTTCGCACTTTTTTCTTATTGTGTATGACATACAACTTCATTTATTACGGTAAAATGACCCCATCTTAAGAACGCAATTCATTCATATTTAAGGCGCGCAGCAATGACGTCATTTAAAGCACGCGACCTGTCTTACATGGGGGTGCAAGACAGGTTTTTCTGGCACCGGTGTAAACGGTAGGTAATCCTCTCTGGTATGCAAGATATGACAATCATACACATGTTCTGTATGATTAATAAAATGATAAAATTCCAAAAATAAATTAATATGCCTGACAGTATGGTAAATGTGACTACCCAACGCTGAATGACATAGTCTATCTCATAGTTTTCAAAACTGACCAGTTCTTATCTAATCAGGGGGAAATATTTTCCCGCTATTTCGCTCCGTTAAAATGCGGGAAAATACATTTTATTAATTATTAAGACCGCAATATTCTATCCTGCCAGTTTCACAGGCATTCTAACAACAACAATACAATAATAGACACATAATTGTTTGCTATTCAGGAACGCAAACAAACAAGAAAATATATTTTGTAAAGTTAGTCCAAAAATATACCAATAAACTAAGTAAGTCATAATGCTAACTGTATAGTCGTTCTTGGGTTTCAAAACTAGGTATTGGTCCATAAACTTTACATTCAGATTAATATTAATCACGTGACTTGTTCCGATGTACTTCTATAAGATTAAATATGTCTTCAAGATAGGTTTGGTGTCAAGTTTTAACATGACTGGATACACAATAAGAAACGCAAACCGTTTTCAGAGTCATTTGTCAGTATATTTCATTAGACATTTCTTCTTTCGCAAACAAACGTCCACTTGTTCCAGCAATATTCAGTTTTCCATTTCCAGTTCTTCTTTATGTTTGTCATAAGAACACAGGCGTCCGCTGAATGTGGCTCATCCTCAGCATAATAAGTGTAAGCAGGATCGGTCATATCACTCCAAACAAAACCCATAGTTTTCATTTTATTGAGACCTGTCCAAAACTTACCATCGTTGTCTGATAGGAAAGGAAATAGGTTATTAAGATATTGGTTTAAGTTCACCATCTCCGCGGCGTTTGCAATCTTCACTAGGTCAGCATGACCAGACAAACATACATCTCTTCCACTTTCAAAGGAGAGCCCATTTGTTTGATCAAGGAATCTTGGAAGCATAATACAATGGTTTCCTACTTTAATTCCAAGGCCACAATTTCCTTTTTCATAAACCCTCCATTGCTGTTGAAACCGCTCAATGAATGTGGAAAAATCAAACAGCTTCGTATTAAGTTCACATGTCTTTGATGTGTGCCAGTTGAAAGAGACACATCCATGGAAACTCGAGCATTCAGATGCACATTGTGACACAGATAGGTTGTAAAAGGTAGCATCGACATTATTGACACGAATGTTGTCGAGTAACCAACGCTGAAAGTGAGCAGAAATATTCACAACTCCATCACAAATTATTATCTGAGCGACAAATATTCCCAATGTGAGTCCAAACAAAACAGTTTTCACAAACATCATTTTGAACAGTCGGCAAAAGTATATACAATTTATTCTGCAGTGTCTAAATAAACCACAGGCAAATGTCATGGGATCTCGTCATATTGCAAGTAGTTCATCACAAGACACGCCTATTTGTTTTCCCTCAAAACAACACCAATTGTATTAACTGATCTTGTGTCGTCTATCGGAACTACAATAATGATTGGTTTCCTGTATTTATACATGGCACATAGTTTGTTATGCAAGATGTATACCATCGGTTTGTATGAGGCATGAATAATTGCTTCACTCCATCATAGAAGAAATATTGGAATGTGGAATAGTTGCAATAATACAAATGTCTTGCTTCATAATTATCTTTTGAAAAAGATATACTTTAATTAGAAATTATTCTTAATGGTACATGAAATCAAGATGCTAAATTTCTGCGATAAAACGATTCTTAAATTGTATGATTTATAACTGGTGTATTGCATTTATGAATGGAATTTACAGCGGGGGAATAAGCATATCTTAATGAGAAAGAATAAAGCGCCTCCTCAAGTTTGAACAGTGGATGCAACACAGAATTGGTCCTAAATAATAACAAATAAATATAACAGAAGATAAAAAATTCTAAATAAAGGAAAACTTTATATACTCGTATAAATATCTTTGTTTTAACATCATAATTTTAAAATATGTAGAAAAAACAATATACATACTACTCATTTAACTATAGAATCATTTAAAGTACGATACAAGAAACATAGTCCTTATGCAAGCCGGCTGTTAAATATTATAAAGTAATATTAAAGTTCATTTAATTTCAAATTACCAGAGGGGAACGGTTGAATATCTCTTAAATTTATTGAACATAAATTATATTTTTTCGATTGATATTTTATTTATGTATTGATTTCTGTTATTTGCTATATACTAAAGTAAGTTACAAGCCAAGGCTGTATTTAGTGCTATGAGCAAATACAGAAGATGAACATTTCGGTTGTTCACCCTAATGTAAGTTGTTGTAACTTCAGCCATGTATCTTTTGGATTATCTGATCCGAAGAGAAAGCACTATTTGAATCTGGACTGGTTTGTGTTTTATAGTGGTTATAGTATCATTTTGTCGACATATTGAACTGTTGTCTGGTTTTTTTTCGTTTTTTTTCTATAATTATTATTACTATATTTTAAACCTATGATAGGACAATAATACTAAAAATCACAAATTTAAGTCAACAATAGAAATCCAATTAAGTTTAATTTGTTATCTAGAGTGTTCACATTTTTACCAGTACTATTGATTACAATTTTACTTGAGTTATATCTGTTTATATTCTATTTATTTTTAAGATTGCGTTAGAATTGATAATATGATTTTAAGATTAATTATTAAGATTTTCGGATGATGACATTTAATTCTGATTATCAATCATATGTCCCCGCAACAAGTGCTGTCAATGATCTTTTGTGTCCCTAACCTATGTTCATAAACGACCAAGTCACAAAGTCTCTGAAATGATAATAAATACATTATAAACTATTTTATGCCCATTATCTATGTAAACCAAAGGAAAAAGATGTTTAGTGACTAGGTGCATTTGAAAGTGCACCTATTGATTGATATACCTTATCAAAATTTAAAATGATTCAACTTACATTCTTAAATACTTTCGAGCATTACTGTAACAATTTTTTTATCATGAACCCACGGAAAAGTCAGTTATGTTTTTGAAACTTTAATGTGGTTTAATATCTATTACTGTAAATGCTGTTTTTGAAAGTATAATAGTATAAAGATAATGGTTTATGTTGTATAATTGTCTATCACAAGTATATAGTACTATTGAAATATTCTTACATCCACAACGAGCATCTGTATGAAGTACAATTTTCTTAAACCAACCTGAAACATAATATGATATAGTTATTAAAGTAAGTTAAAGTATAAAATATTTCGTGGATACATTTTTATACGCGCAATGTTATATTTTCAAAAGCACAATGATGAAAAATTTAAGTATAATGTTGAATTAATATTTAAGTATAATGTTGATAATCATTTCAACAGTCTCTCAATAAGAATCGTTTAACGTGTCCTCCATTTGTTGCATATGCTTCACAGATTTGTCAAATCTTTCATCTAAAAGATATTCTTCACATATAAAAGCTATTCTTTACGGATTGGTAAAATTTATCTTTCGTATTTGAGATATACTTCAAAGATTTGTATACATTGTAGATATATCTTTATATATTATGAGATATTATTTACAAATTAGTAAAATTTATCTTTCATTTATTTGAGATTAACTTCACAGATTATTTAACTCTATCTTTCACTGAATGAGGTATACTTCACAGATTTGTTTAATTTTATTTTTCATATATGGGATGCATAATATACAAAACGCTCTTTTATTCTGATAGTTCAATAACGAATTAGTCAGTTGCTGTTGGATATGGTTTATGTGCTATCGCAGACATTAAAACAGAAATTATTGAATATCTAAAAATACTTATAACGCTTTAAATCTCATATTGATTGCATTGTCTTTTACATAATTTTGATTGAAGCTAGTCCGATTCTTATGTAGTCTACAATAAACATGTAAGAATGTAGACAAAAATTAAAATGTACCTCTGTTTTGACTTGAAGAATTTTTAACAAAGATATGTGTTTCTTCGGACTGATACTTGTTATCATTTTTATCCATTTAATATCATAAGGGTTTTGCGGAACTTTTCCACCGTGTACAACCTCGCAACCAGGAACATGCGTTATGCTGAAATATGATATCATTTAATTGCAACTTACATTGATTTGTCTACCTATCCACCTGCCTGGCGACCTATGTCACTAAACAGAGTGTATAAAGAACATCACATTCATACATATTGATCTACATAAATATCTGGAAAAAATGATCCCTTAGAGGTATTAAAACAGCAAAATAACATGAAAATTGCAGACTCGGTTTGATTGAGTCTGTACATGAGGGACAATGAAACAGTGAAACATCCCTACGCCCCCTAGAACCTGCTTGAGCGGTACTCAATTTTCAAAACTTAAAAGTGCTAGACTCAATGATCCCGAAAGACAATAAGGTGCAGTAATATCCAGAACATTGATAGAAACAAAAGATCGTTATTGTAGGATTTTATTTTATGAGAACAATTAAGAAGTACATGCGTACATCAGATCAGTCAAACCCTAAAGCGGTTGCATATTATATGCATTTGATGAAAAACCTTCAGAAAGATATCGTCTATATTGCATTGCATTTTATTTGTAGCATCATCTTATGGCCTTCTTTGAGCTTTTATCAAATCATTGCATGTAGGCCAATGTGTCACGAATTTAATAAAGACTTTGATATTTGTGAATGAAAAATTAAGGCAGTAAACGTCAGAAAATTTTGTAGTCATTACGAAAAAGTGTCTGAGCCAAAGGAATCACTTATTTCTCCTATTATTGATGATAACCAAACAATTGCAATTGTCATCCAATAAACCCTGATGATTTATATGCGTAATCTATACATATACAATATAGGCATGAACATCTAGGTAGATTTACCTTTAACCTTTTGTCAATTTGACTATGACCTTTTCACCTACATATACATTTTTCAAGCTGGTGGCGTGCTTGCGTGTATGAACGCATGAGAAATTGACACTGAACATAATACTCTATTTTATCTATTTAACTTCTGTCATGACTTTAAAAAAGACGTTCATCAATGTGACATTGAACGTATGTGTTTTTTTAATTGAAATTTAATTTAATTAAAATATTGGATTTATGTTCACAATATGATATTCATTGTATATGATAAAGTACTATTACAAGTCAAAATAAAATCGTTTTTGTACAATTTAGACGCTTGATTTTAACATTGTTTGTTTTAATGCATTCTAGGACGGTAAATATTGCATGAACGTGTTGCCAGTCTGTTTGCTTTATATATATATTTATCATTAAACATGTATTTACTGCAATAAAGCATGTTTTAGGTAAAATATCATTTACTTCTTTCATTAGGCAAAATAAAGAGTACTTACTTTTTGCATAAAAGACCCTGTTTAGTACAAGAGCACTGCAGGCAAGCTTCTGCATCAAGTATTTTCGACTTTGGAAGCATCTTGGTCAATTTATACTCACAGAATCTTATCACTTTTCCATCAACTGTAAATTAAAATCTTTACCCAGTAAAGGTTGAAATAAAGCTCGTTCCAATTTAAACAATTAATTCAAATACTTAGTAATAAAATTTATTACTTAATAAATAATAATGTTTTATATGTATCGTATACAATAATTATGTAACTAAAGAAAGAAATAACACTTTAATTTTTTTTCAAAAACCCTATATCATATACCTTTTTCTTTTGAAATGTTATGAATGAAATCTGCGGTGCAAACTTCCACACTAAATAACAATAGGACTGTAGTAACAATTAGAGAAACCGCGCAAATAAACATTATGTTTAGTTCCTCGGGAGAAATCTGCTGCTGTAATAAATAAGAAACGATGCATTCTATATATGTGTAGTGATAAAAAGGATTAAGAAAGCTATTGCTTCCGCGATATATGATGCATGTTTTATCCAATAATGTAACATGTGATTTTTCTTTTATACTTTAACATTAATAGTAATAACAGGTTTCGTACATTTTACGACTTTTCCACGTAAATATACAGGCACGGATCCCCGAAGGCAATAAAATGTATATAGGAAGCTTAAACCTTGTAGGATTAGCAAAGCACTTGGGATGTGATTAACATGTAAATACTAAGTAATAATAATTTAGATTATTGCTTGTTATGGCTTTCACTTGTCGGCAGTGTGTAGCGAAGCAATAAATTTCTCCTTTTTTTATCAAATAATCATTTAAAAATGAACTCTTTAATGCTTAAGAATATACAATACACAGCATCAGTCATATTTGTAAAAATTAAAATTGAAACAAAAAAAAAGACTAGCATTTAACACCCTTGCGTGTCTTTTTAACACCCTTGTGAATCTTGCTCTTTCCAGTACCGTCCATGAACAATTAGCTCAATCAAACCGAACCTGCAACATTTTAATTTTGTCGTTTTGGACGTTCTTTAGGGTTTCTTTTTTAAATCTTAATTTTTCTTGAAAAATGTAGAAAAGTTTTTCCCCAAAATGTACATCTAAAATAACAACAACAATAAACTAAGAAAATGTTGAAATGTGTAATTTAAAATGAGCACTACACAATGTATCCGCTTTTCGATTTTAAAATGGGCACTACTCGATATGCAGATTTGACTTATTGTCCATAAAATGAAAGCCCATTAGCAACCCCAGGCAAACATTTCTAGATCGTGCATGGAAATAAGTTAAGATTGGTTTGCATAATAAGTATGCAATTACGCATTTGAAAACCGGAATACTTAAATAACAAAATGTTTGTTAATATCACTTTAATGTGTATTAATGCAATATTATAATATAAACATAATTATGATATGTCGACATATGTTGTCGTTTATATAAAGCAGATATTTATGACATAGACCACGATAAGTATAAGTATTCAAAACTAAAATAATGACCCTTTCAGAAATCAACTTTAAATTGTTTATAGTATTCAAGTTATGCTAGATCTACATTTATGTAATTTATCAATTCCTTAAATTAAAAAAAAATCTCTTAGGCGTACAAAAATATATAGAACAATAGAGTAATAATTTAAAAGGAACGTTTAGTTTTAATATCAAGGTTTACCTTACTAAATAATGACTGGAGACTAGATCACGTGCTTTGATAGCTTGGTCAGAGAGCACCTTAACAACATTTTTTTCATTAATTTTGTCCAGTGTAATAAAGTTAACACCTAAATAACAAAAATTGTCCACAATTTCTAGTGTCTCACCATTGATAAACCATTCAAAAGAATTTTTCAAAAATACATACTTACCAACGTGCTTATGGTGAACTTTTGTGATGGATCTATTCTCATTGCTGTTGGATATGGTATGCTGTTGGCCGTCATGCGACGTCTGTTGCCGATACTTTTTAAAGGTCACGGGACAGGAACCGTACACGGGGGAGCTAGGGAGTTCTTTTGATAACTTGTCAGGAGTTCTTCTGATAACTTGCACGCAGTTCGTCGGAAAACTTTTGTAAATGTATATACCGAAGAAACACTCGTCCAAAATGGAAATTTTCATCTTTAAACAGAAAGTTTGTTATGCTAAAGTTTTAAAAAATTAAACACAGACGCCTTACTGGTTGTAAATTTTTAACTGTGTGCTTATTTCCAATAGCGCAAAATGGTTTGTAGAGCTCAAAAACTGAAGGAAATTGCTGCAGATTAACAAAACAAAACAAAAAAAACAAATAAACAAAAAATGGACAATTTCTTGGTATCCTTTCAATAACATTTTTGTAACAAATTTCAAATTTTCAGCCTTTTCTAATAATACCTACAGTTAGTAAACATATTTGACTAGGAACTGGTCATATAAGTAAAAGTTATACAAATATTTTCAAGAAAATCAACATATTTTTTTTATTTAATTTAAAACCAAACTCCTGAATATTTACGAGTAAATTGCCATCATGAGTCATAACCTACACGTCTGTTCTCACTTGATTAAAGCACCAAGCTACATGGCTTAGGTTCAGGGTGTAGCATCAGAACAAAAATAGAATGTCACAATGTCATAATCTACGTCTACAGGTATCAACGTTTGCATCGATCTGAAAGTATGCACATAATAGGTTTGTGGCTTTGGTTTTGAATGCAAAAACTAGTTCACTGAGTTAAAATTTAGTTCAACTCATGGCAAGTTAAAATGTGCCTGAAATCATATTTTTAAAGCTGGGTTATTTAAGAAAGGCAGAATTTTTTCCGTAATATCATTTTTATGAACAATACAGGCTATAAGAAAAAGGCATGGAATAGGGCTAATTCTGACCAATGGGGTTAATTTAGAACGGCTATTATTCATTCATTCATTTATTTTAAAGTTAAATTGAAGCTTGTAATCTATAGCAATTTTCGATAATTATTTTATCAAGAATTCAAAAACATGAGTTTTTCTAAGGAAAAACGATAAACACAAGAATAGATCTTCCACAATGATTTAGGATATTGTAAGTGATTTATATTGAGTTAGAATCCCAGTCAATTTACCCTGTCGCGGTGTGTTTGTGTGAGTAAGCCATGAGGAAAACGGTTCTCACTAAAAACTGTTCAATTATTCATTAATTATTCATTTACAGATGTTTCGGTGATCCCTACCAAACACATTATACATGTATATAGTCAGCAACGGGCAAAGTATATACGGTTCGCACACATATCAGGTAATAGATAATAGTTTAAATATCGGATATATAGATCTGCTTCAAACAGCGATTTTCTTTGAATCTCGATAAATTTGGAACTAGCGCGCACTCAAACTTGTAAACAAATCAAATACATGTATTCTACAAAAGCATGATAAATAGAGAGGAAACAAAATCCCTACAGTACAGAACGCCAAAAACGTACAATTTTACCCTGTTCGTGCAATGTACGTAGTGTAAACGTCCAAGCCAATTAACTAGCACTGGCTTAAGCACATGAAATTTTGAGAATTTGTGAGCTTTATGGGTTAGGGATATCAATATATAGAGGATATTTGTTTAGTTCAGTGTAAGATCGGAATATATTTCACCGAGTGAGCACCAAAAGGTATATTTCACGAGTGGCGCAGCCACGAGTGAAATATAAAACTTTTGGTGTTCACAAGGTGAAATATATTTCGATCTTACACTAAATTAAACAAATATTCTTTTTATTATATGCAAAGAAACGTTTTAAAAAGACATTAAACCTAATACTGAATGAAAAGCGCGCCAAATAATAATACAACGTGACGTCATTTACGACGTCACGTCATTAAGTTGGTACCAAGTTCTGTGCACGCTGGTATTTCACTGAAACAACGTAAGGGGCTTAAATTCAAAACAGTGAAATTATCAAAGTGGTAATTTCACTGTTTCAAACAGTGAAATTACCATTTTTAATATATACTTTTAAATGAAATATTGAGAAATATTGATGAAATAAAATTTCCGTATTTTCACTGTAAAAAATTTATTTTTCACTGCAGTGAAACATATTTTCCGTGTTCTCACTGGTGTCTTGCCGGACTACTTTCTTTTAAATTCTGCCAGTACTCAAAATTTAAGGAAAGTCTTGCAAATTTTAATGTCTAAAAAGGGAAAAATGTATATAATAAACAGAAAATTCAAGTTTTTTCTATAAATACATGATTTATTTTCATCTTGTGGCATGAAAATGACCATATTTCACTCGTGGCTACCGCCACTCATGAAATATTTATTTTCATACCGCTCGATGAAAATAAATCATGTATTTATAGAAAAAACTTGAATATCCTCTATTTATATCACTGATATATTTCTATAAACCACCGAAAAGCATGTAATAAATAGCTTTATGGGTTAGGGATATATACTTATAAAATGAAATATTGAGTCACATTGATGAAATAAAAATGTATATTTTCATTTTTCCGCAATTTCACTGTAAAAATTTATTTTTTACTGCATAATATTTTATTTTCAGTATTTTCAATGGTGTCTTGCTGTGCTACTTTCTTCTAAATTCAGCCAATACACAAAATTAATATGGAATTCTTCCTATGCATATAAAGTTTAAAAAAGAGAAAAGTATATCATAAACAGAAAACTAAAGTGTTTTGCTATTAAGACATCTCTATCTTTACGCGAATTCTTTTTGTTTAAATAATTTCTTTGAGTTTGTTAACAGTTTTATCATGGCCGCTTATGTTTATGAAAATAAAAAACCGAAGGAGCGCAATTCAAAATAATCGAAATGGCATCTGTTTTAGAATTGATGCTTCAGGAGAAAGTTTCGCCGGAAGATGTTGTCAGATGGCTCTGTAATAAGGCAAGAGCTGCTATTGACATGAATAATTTTGGTCCATTTGTTTCCGATTTTCACAAAATACGAACAAATTTCTACCCCCACCCACTTTTTTACGTTGAGTCAGGGACTTGCGCGACGAGATATTGTGCTATTTTCGTGTCTGAGCAATATCTCGCCTCTACAAAGCGAGATTCTGCCCAGAACGAAAATATCTCAGAATCAAGCTTTGGCACGTCAATACATTGTATATTTTGACTATCTAAACTCATGATTTTATGACCTGTTTAGCTATACCCAAAGACACTTCAGCCCTATAAATGAGACTCATCAACACCCCCCACTATGCCACATAATTTGTTTGGCGCGTTGTCAACGCGGCGTTGATTGGTGACTACCCCCCCCACCCACCCACTATACCACAGGCGCTAGTCACATAATCAAAATATTTAACATAAACGGTCTATATATGTATATAAAGATATAAGGCCCCAAACGGAACAAAAACATAATGCGGAACAAACAAGAACACTGCTGCAAGAAACGACCAGATCACGGTTATCTCTTTCTGGTCGCCATCTGAAAGGATTAATCCAAGCGTTAACGCTTTTTATTTCATTAAAATCCCTCAAATAGCAAAGCAATTGGGTAATGTTTCCCAAAATGCCATTATTTTCAATTCATGTCGTTTTCGACGTCCATACCATACATGTATACAAACATGATTTCTGGTCGATTTAAAAGAAATAAACAAAAAACGGCTAGAATTTCCACGTAAGTTCCATAAACAAACTCTTTTCCTATCGATCTGCGAAGTCTTAACTGATCAAAAGCTCTCTTCATACTTAATTCATTAAAAAATACACAAGGATCCCGCTTGTGACAGTATTTTATCGCCAAGCATAGCGCATGTATATACTGTTCCGCTCTGAATATTATATAAGGATTTGATTGGTATAAGATAATTATCGGAATACTATTGACCAATCGTATAATACTTTTTCTTTGTTTCATTTACCTGTCACTTCAAAATCAAAATGGCACACTTTACTTGACCTCCGCTTCTACAACCAATATTTTTTAAATATTTGCGTACAAAGAGGGCTCTAGTTCAATTTAGACTTCACAGATTGATAGAAAAAGAGTTTGTTTATGAAATTTATGAGGAAATTTTAGACGTTTTCTATTTATTTCGTAGAAATCCACCAGAAATCGTGTTTGTTTACATGAATAGATTGGACGTCGAAAACGACATGGATTGAAAATATTGGCATTTTGTGAAACTTTTACTCATTTCTTTGCTATTTGAAGAATTTTAATGAAATAAAAAGCGTTAACGCTTGGATTTATCCATTAGAATGTCGACAAGAAAGAGATAACCGTGATCTGGTCGTTTCTTGCAGCAGTGTTATAGTTTGTTCAGCATGATGGCTGTGTTCTGTTGGAGACCTTATATCTTATTATAGTGTATAGCCCGTATAAAACTTTAAAAAGTTTGTTTCAAGCACCTGTGCACTATACAACCCTCCTACCTCTCAAAAACCTAGAGTCGACACCCTTACTATGTATGTCAGAAAGTCTCAACAAATGTTAGTAAATAAAGAAAACAGTTGTATATTTTTAAACATCAAAGTAAATTTAATGTATCTGCAAAATTTCTTTTATAAAATACCCACACATTTTAATTTTTATATAAAATTTTGATTTCAATTCAATTTAACATGCATGATAGAATTACAGTCAACCCGGCCCCAAGTCAACCCGGCCCCAAGTCAGCCCGGCCCCAAATTGGTCAACCCGACCCCAAACCAATTTTATTTCTGGTCAACCCGGCCCCATTTTTTTTTACTATTTATTTTGCTTTAAAATGTAAACACTTATCAAGTAATAAGATAAAAATTAACGAAAAACGGTAGGTATTATAAACGTAAGCACAATATCTAAGTGTTGTCATATGATAACACGTTCATTTAGAAAAAAAAAGAATAAAAACAAAGAACGAAAAAGGAACGCAGCTATTTCTTCTATGGCATTACTTATGCTAGTTAAATTTAGACATAATAATACTGGTTAATTTACTTAAATTAGAAAGAGTAATTTCATTTCGACTTGATAATATCCTCGCAAAACAATAGACGGTATCTGATTTCGATAACATATGTCTTTAATTGTGTGAAAGTTTTGATAAGTGCGATAATGCAATTATCCCACGTGGGTCACGAAACCATCTTTAATTTACATCGAATAAAGACATGAAAGATACTACCAACTTATTAAAAGGATTTGTTTTCACAGCTATACCTTTTTTGTTAATTGATTGTTTTAAACTGTTTGATTATCACATCTGAATTAATGTTGATGTACATATAATTGTTGATGTTATATACAACAACAACAACAACATTTATTAAGCATTAAACACCTGAAAGGTGCATATAGCCAATATTTACAATCATATACTGATGTGAACTTGAAATGAAGCTAAACAAAAAACAAAACATACAGAATAGTCAGAGAAGTATACACGATATCATCCATCTTTTAATTTCTTAAATTGTTCGCAAAGTATATATATTTGGCAACTTTGTTAACTGTACTTTTTTGGTGCTCTGACATAAGCTTTTCAAATTTAAAAATACTTGGCCAATGGCAATAAAATCTTTTAAAGTATTTAAGTCTTAGATGTCTGTATTTAGGGCAAACTAATAAAAAATGGTATTCATTTTCTAATTTATGCATGGTACAATTATTACATAATCTATTTATTCTATCTATGTTGTTATACCTTCCAATTTCGATATGTAGACTATGAGATGAAGTTCTAAACCTACATAATGCGATTCTATATAATAATTCATCAATATTGCGTATAAAAGACTTAATCGGCGCAATTAAATTTACCGACACTTTTTGTTACTATTGTTCTATAGTTAATAATCTTCAATAATAATAAATCATTTTTATTCCATCATACAACAAAATGACTTAAAAAATTTTCTTTGAAAAATATATATTTTGGGGCCGGAATGACCAATTTTGGGGCCGCACTGACCAATTTTGGGGCCGGGTTGACCAAATAAAAATACCGTGGGGCCGGATTGACCAATTTTGGGGCCGGGTTGACCAATTTTGGGGCCGGGTTGACTTGGGGCCGGGTTGACTTGTACCGTGCATGATACATGGTAGAGGCTATATATAGGGACGGATTTCTGTCTTCTATCTGATATTAGTCAGATGCTGTTGTCATAATTCTGGTAAGGAAGAGCAAGAGGCATTTTAGGGGAAAATATGAGCATTTTTAGGGAAAAATTTACCTATTTTGGGCTAGAGGAAACAGCCTATATTTGGCAGTAAAATACTTTAAAATAGTGAAAAAAATCACTGCTCATCTTAATATGAACTTCATAACTCCAACATTTTTTCACCAATTTTCAAAATCTTGGTACCAAATGATAGGGAATTGAATACTCTTAAAGGAAAAAAAGCTGTCATTACAATCATTCAAGTTAAAAGAAGATATGTAATTTCGAACTCACCGAAAGTGTAAGTCGACAGAGACCTGACCGCTGGGTTTTTGTCATTTGTCTTTTTCCAACAATATTTCTTGTTTGTTTGCTATTGTTAACACTTGATAAACTTTTTAAGATTTCTTTTTTAAGAAAGTTTGCAGTCTGTTTTTCAGTTTAAGGTGTAGCATTTATCAAAATATCAAAATTTTCAAATAATTTTCAATTTAAAATCTTTTATTCTTATTTCAGACAACAGACCTAGAAAGCCTGCAAGACTTTGATAATTTGAAAGTGGAGTTCATTCCATTTTTCTTGAACTATTTACGTGATCATACCATTCATTTATTACAAACATCTAAATCTGCCACACCCTCCCCTGCCAAAACACCTTCATTGAAAAAGATACAGAAATCTGTGAGGAAGACCCGAGAAAATGGTGGGAAACGACAACAGTTATTTGGGGCCAGTCCAGTAGGAGATGTTGATGATTTCCGTAATCTTCCAACATCCGTTTTCTCACCTAACACTTCACTTGATTCTCCAGGGAATATTCAGCCAAATCAGAAAGTTGACAAAAATTATGGGAAGGGGAATTTTAAGAATAGTTATGCTAGTCAGAAGTTTTCGCCTCAATGTGGAAATCAGAGATATGCTAATCAAAAAAATTCACCACAGTGTGGCAGTCAGAGGTCACCTTATTCGCAGGTGACACCAGAGCAAAGGTCGAAACAGAAATTCAGTTTAGGAGAATTCATGAATACACCAGACCAAAGTAATAATGCAACTGGGTGGAAAAGGAAGTCTCCTCATTCGGGTAATAAGAAAGACTTTTCATGTGATATTTCACCATCTCCTGCAACAGGTCAAGGGAGAAAATCTGGAGGTAAGAAGAGGCACAGTTTCAGCCCTTTAGTACAAAATATGACACCAAATATAACAGAGGAAAAGGTTTCAGCTCCTATTTTTAGTTTAACAAGTTCTAATGACTTCCCACCAATGGGTCAGGCATCGTGTGAAAACAAAGGCAAAAAGAACAATAATAGAAGATCTTTAGATTCAAACATTCAGACTTATCAATCAAATGATACAAAAACTTCAAGAGTTATAAATTTCTCAAATGGTGAATCAAATACATTAACAAAATTTCAAAGAGATAGGCTACAAGAAGTTAAAAGAGTATCACCTGTAACTGTACAAACCTCTACACCTGGACCAAGAAGGATAACTCCTACAGTTGTAAAGGCAGATAACTCTATGCCTCAAAATTCAGCTTTTCTTGTTCCTATAGAAGAAAATGAATCGGCATGGCAGTCAAATTCTGCGACAAATTTACAAAATTCAGGTGTTTCAGAAACTTCACATTTGTCTAAAGAAGAGAGAGAACTTTTAAAGTAAGTGATAAATCCTAAAATAAGTTATTATGGAGTTTCAAGTAATTCTCCAGATTACACATTCTATGTATTGAAATTACTGTTTCCTTTGTTGATAGGCACATAATTGCTCTTATTTGCTTATAATTCTTATTTGCTGTAACGCACAACACAGTGGTAAAATTGCTAAATGAAAAGTTGAAAAGATGGTGTATGTCAAGATTTTTTGGGGAATACTGCATGATTTGAAAGAAAATTTCAATTGAGAAGAGGCCTTTTATAGGCCTCTTTGTTGTATAAGATGAAAATTCACTGTCACATACAAATGCTGATGTTTTTTTCTTTTAAATAAATGATCTTTATTTGAGAAGTTTACTGAATTGAACATATCATGAGCTTAGCATGTTACCATTCTGATGATGTACATGTTTGTTCTGGAAAAAATTCAATTAGTTTTTTTTTTTAATTTATTTTATAGAGAAGAGAAAGCACGATGTCATACCCAGGCAACAGAGAGTGGGAAGGTATCTTTACCCACCCCAACAAAACTAGCGTTGGAGAGGGGAACTAGTGTCTGTGAAATCGTTGAAGCATGTTTGGGAAGTATAACTCACCAGGATAAACTTGACAGGCTTATTCAGCTGTACTCTGAGTGTTTAGATTGTAAGATAATAATTATCATCATATGAGCCGCGTCATGACAAAACCAAAGTTATGCATTTGCGACCAGCAGTGATCCAGACCAGCTTCCGCCCAGGCTGATCAGGATCCATGCTGTTTGCTATCAGTTTCTCTACTTGATATAGGGTTTGAAAGCGAACAGCATGGATCCTGATCAGACTGTGTGGCTGCGCAGGCTGGTCTGGATCCATGCTGGTGGCAAATGCACTTTGTTGGTTTTGTCATGACGCAGCTCATATATATTTATACACTTTGCTGCTAGTTTAACTATTTTATATGAATATTTTGTGAAGAATTACACTTTCCTTAGGACTTGCTTATAGTTTATGTGTGTATTTTATAGACAGTATACAGAAGCTCAGGACTTACTGTTCAGATGTTCTCATATTTTAGTTAATTCATTTATTTCAGTTCTGAAGTAAACAAGTGACTGGTTCAAAGATAAATGATGTCTGATATTAACAAACAAGCTGATATGTGCTAAATTTTCGATTAACCCTATCTGATTAATTTTGAAATATGAATAAAGAATAAATATATCTTTTTACATAGATAATCTATTACCTAATGTGATTGTGGAGCTGTATTTTCTGGTGCAGTTGTTGACCGCTAGAGGAGGTGGTGTGGAGGAAACTTTTATTTATGGGGATGGTAATAATCTTTATTTTTAAATAGTGTGTCAAAAATACCAAGATTTGATGATTGTTTTTGAAAGACACAGTGTGCCTCAGAAATGAAAAAAGTGCAAACATGAGTTTTCTTATGTTTGAATAATGGTTTTAGAGCAAGTTAAATGCTTATTACATTTAGAAAGTATTGCTCAATGTGAAATTTTTGGTCATTTTAGCAAAATGTAAACAAAGTAGCATTTTGACTTCCATACAAAATACTTAATCACTATAGCTGTACTAATTCTCAGACAGATACAGAAGCAAAATATGGTTAAGTATTGGCCAATAAATCAAATGCAATAGGACACGAAATATAAAAACCTTCGAGAAATAAAAAGAAAACCTTATCTTGGGTAAAATGAACCTTTAATAATTATATACTGAATGCTTCACCATGCCATCTGCGCAGCCTTTATAATTAAATCATGCTGTAACATGCTTAAATTCACCTTTTTGACATACTTGAATTATCAATGGACTGTATCAAATTGAAATATGTGCTGGTGTTTTTATATACATGTATGTTAAGTAGTGAATGGGTCAAGATTTACACATTATCTGTTTACAGATGTGATAGAAGAGAACTACTTCTCATCAGTTCATAACACAGTGTACTTCGCCATCAGTGTATTGGAGCAACAGAAAAGGTATGTAAAAAAGTAGTCCCAATATGCGATTTTAGTAACTTCCCCTGATGTGCACTTCACATATTTCTCTTTTCACATATTTCTTGTAATGTCAATGTGTGTATATTAATTACCATAGTTTTTAGCTTGACTATTCAAAAAATAGGGAAAACTTTTGTATTCACCTCAGCGTTAGCTTTGGTGTCGGCATCACTGTCAGTTTTGCGTGCAAGTTGATATCTCCAAAATTACCAAAGGGAATGGGTTGAAACTTCACACAGTTGCTTTCTGTGATTATCTATCATGATGGGCAGAGGTCCCATAACTCTTTAGGTACGATTTTACAGAGTTATGCCAAATTGTCAAGTAAAGAGACTAGTCAAGTGTGTAATCATAATCATTGAAACACTTAGAAACATTTTATATTATATGGACCATGGTCAAATCCATGTAATCAGACGTGACATAATTTGGGATTTAAAAACTACTGATTAAGGACAGTTTGCATATTTGAAAATCAGGGACTATGCATATATATATCTTCATCATATCATATAGTTATTTGAAAACAATAACTAAGTACATGTATGTCAAATATGATAATGGAATTACTATCAAATATTATATGAATCAGGAACAGATTTTGGACTCCCTAACTCTTGAATTTACTTTATTATTGTGTATTATTGTGTAAACTAAAGAAAAATAATAATTTGATCATTTTGTTTTTTTATCATAATGTTTATTTCTTTATAAATATATGACAGTGATAGCATGACGTAAAGTTAATATATTTGGTAAAATTATTATGACTTGACCTCTATTTGTATCTTACATACATGCTAATATATCATTTATACAACTTATTAAACAATTTTCAGATTGTTAAAAATGTTGGATAGATGTACCCTGTACCTACTTGCAGAAAATCCCAGGATTGTAACATTTTCAACAGAACTTCAGAAATATTTAGAGAAATGTTATGAAAGAGCTGAATCTCGGGTAAGTAAACTCATCTATTTCAAGAACTGTTAATTTTATATTTATTATAGAATACTTCCGTAAAGCTTCTCTTCAACACAAAACGGGTCTAAAAAACATCAACATATTTGTTTACAGTTAAAAAATATGCATAGAAATTTTCAGTTTCCATGAGATAATTGTAACCCAACAGTTGATTGGTTTCAGTGGACACAGATATAAACACCCTTATAATCTCACCTATTTACATGTAGTAGCGAGTAGGACAGTTTGATGCAGGTAGAACTTACTATATAAATGCCAGTTTTAAACAGGATTACCATGATATATTCTTCTTTTTTGCCTCTTTTTATAGACATTACTTTCTATGATATATGATATATTATGTAGCAATCGATTGCAGGATAAAAAAACTTACCAAGGGCAGAATTCCTTCTACTCGCAGCCTACTGATCTACTTGCCTTCAGTTAACAGTTTGTTTATAATTAAAGTCAATATTTACAAAATAAAACACTGCAGCAGTTTAAAATTACAGTAGGAAAAGCAATGCAAATACTTAGATGTTTTTTTCGTGGGACAAGACATGAGTTAATCACCTAGTTCCACTTATATGTACAAGCCTGTATTGAAATATTAAATTTTAATGACATTTATTTAAAATACACTCAAACTACAATGTGTGGGATAGTAGCTTTAAAGCTACACTGTGTAAGACACCTCAAATTAGTTAAAACAACATTCAAAAGATCAAACTTGAAAAATATATCTTTACAATATGGATGTATTATGCAAAATCTGACATTTTTCAACCAAAATTCAACCTTCTCTAATAGAACAAAACAGATTTTATTATTTGATATGACTTGAACATAACAGTTCCTTGTCATTACAGCATATATATTAAATACAGCATTGAGAAATTCTCTGAAATATCGCACAGAAGGGCACCTGAGGCCTTTCTCCGTTAGTAAAAGCTGGAAAGTCACCATATGACCTATAATTTGTTAGTGCGACGTAAAACCCAATTAAAAAAAAGAAAAAAAAACGAGAAAGGAGAAATTCTGCATATTGTGACATGTTATAGGTACTTTATGCCTGATCTAAGTGTTGAAAACTAGGTTAAATGGAATAATCTGTATACTAATAACATCTTTACTCACTAGAATAATTTGTTTAAATTTTTCATAAAAGTAACGTAAATTTTGAGATTTGATGCTTTCAGGTCAGCTGTTAGTGAGAGAGATATGTTTAATGATATTTGATGTTCTGTAACTTTGCATTAACATTGATGTGTTGTTACTCTTTTAAGATCATTTTACTATCATACAATTCTAGATTTTGAAATGTAGCAAACAAACAAACAAAACCAGCATTCTACATTTGTGTCATACAAGTATTAATTGATATTCTTGTATTACAGAGAGGTCCTGTATTTCCTCATTCTCCTATAGGATCAGTCTCGTTTCAAGCAGATACAGACAACAGAAAGAATTTTCCCAATGACAAATGTTTCCATCTGTTTAAAAGACAAAGGTTTGTATATATTCTTAATAAACAGTATTACATGCAGCTTTATTGATAGATTTTAGGGGCAGCAAATTCAATGATCTGTATTGCCCAGGTTGTCCAACAGCCTATATGGACAAGTGAAAATTTTCCTGAATTTATTAAAATCATATGGACGAGTCAAAATCACATTTTGTCAGCCCTTTACTTATTGGTTGAAGTCTTGCTAGATTAACAGTTTTTAATAGAGACTGAGTCACAGAGATTTCTTATATGGAAGTAGCTGATATAAAAGCTATACATGTATTGCTAAGTTGTCTCACAACTCGGGGAATCTGAAGTTTTGACCATACTGGGGTCACACATATATTTCTTCATATGACACTAATATTAATTATGTACAAGAAAAAGACTTGATAATTGTCCATATATATTCTAAGCTTATAAGTTATAATAAATATGTTTGGTAAGTTTAAAGAATACCAGAATTGGTTTTTAGTGTTGTAAGAAATTAAGTAGAAAATTCGACCTGGTTTGTAATTATTGCATATATATACATTGTACACCTTGAATTAAGTTAAAATTGGCTGTGTTTGAAAGCACTTTCATGAGATGATGACTTAATTGAGCTTAGAAATTGTAATTTGTTAAGAAGCGATACCAATTCAGTAATCATAAACCAGTAAATTTATGAGTTTAGTTTATTCTGAACCAAATTATTGAAGCATAAGCAAATGTTTTGTTTTTTACCAAAAAAGTGTTTATAAGTATGGTGTTGGAGCATTTACAAAACATTTACTGGTGGATATTGTTGGTAAAAGTTGACAATAATGTAACCTAAAATGTCATTATATAGCCACATTTTCAATACCTGGTATAATGGTCTGTATTGAATGAAGTATATATTTCTCTTCATTTAGAGATGGGTTTTATGAGTTGATACGAGAGTGGGAGGCTAGTAGGATGAACCCTAATTACAACATGGCACAGATGTTTGGACAAAGAGTGCGAGCTTTGGTCAATGTGAAAACAGATCTAGCAAACCTTATACATTTTGCGCGACTGTTTCAATCTCAACTTATAGCAGTGAGTATGCAGAAAATGTTATATTAATTCAAATAATTGAAATTTGCCTTTATTTTATGCTTGTGGATACCTCTTGAATGTAGTATTTTGTATACAGATTTCTAGAGCAGTATTGTTGCGACTCTTCAGTGTTTAAGGATTACATTTTCAAGTCTTGCAAAAAATTCCTAAAAAGTGTTTGGTTTTTATGTATAATGAATGGATTCATTACATTTACCAGTTTTGAAGAGTCTGTAGTGAGTTTTTTGTATGGAACTTGTTAATACTGGAATTAGGTACATATATATTTAGAAAGGTGGTAGTTCTTGCAAATACACAAATATGATTTTGTTGAGAAACAGGGTCAGCTACAAATTTGCACAATAGAGACAAACTTGAATGAAATAGAAATTAATTTGTTGTGTTTTTGTGTGTTTTTATTTAAAAAAAAATAAAATATATATAAAAAAAATAAATAAATTGAAACACTGTATTGAATACATTTATTTTGGTGAATAAGGCCAAAATGAAATATTGTTTGTTTCCCCTCCCCCTACCTACCCACAAAAATCACAAAATACCCAAAAATATTTAAAGAATGTTATTTTTTTTTATTACTAAACATTGAAACAGAGACCCTATCCGAACTGGCATAGGTGGCAGGAGGGGAAACAAAGATAATTTCAGGCTTGCCTAATATGATTTTATATTACAGATGTGTAAGGGAGATGGAAGTATACGAAGTAGTGAAGATGATGATAACATAGCTTTATTGAGTCAACTTAAACGTACCAACCCAGAGAAATTTAAAAAGTATGTTGATGGTTTAACTTTGTTTACTACTACCTATAATGGTATAATTAGGCCTCTGACACCAGTGTTGAATCAAACAAGTCTTCACAGCCTTGCAGTATGACTAGACTCTAAAGTGCTGGCTCCTTTATGTTACATTATTTTAATTGTGAAATCCCTTTCCTAATTCAAAACAGCACAAGTACACTAAATTTCTTTATCTCTTTTAGTATCAAAGAATATGATATCACTTCTATCTCATCTCTGTTAGTTTAAAAGAATATGATATCACTTCTATCTCATCTCTGTTAGTTTAAAAGAATGTGATATCACTTATATCTCATTGATATTTTCAAATATGTATAAAAAAAAAACACAGGATAAACCTCAGTTTATTTCATCTTTGCTGTGAGTCAGAAGGCTATTGCTAGAAAATAATATACATTTATAAAGTACAAATATATTTTCAATGACTTAATACTTAACCACACTATCTTAAATAGTTTCATCTTTCTTTTAATCTGGATATACTTTTTCATTACTTTACAGGAAAGTTTTACAAAAGTACTTGCTGAATAATAATAAATGTAAACCATCATCAAGTCATATATTATATATCATAATTATGTGCTTGCTTATTTTGGTCTGCACTGGTCATATTGGTAGATTCAGTTGTGGCCAGCAGGCTAAAGGTTAAAGAAATCATGAATTAGAATGATAGTTTTGATACTTCTCACAGTACTTACTTATTTTAATATTAAATTTCATTTCAGATTGCAAGAACGTTTTATTAAACCATTAAGTTTTGGTGGTCCCTGTCCGAGCCCTTCTTTCCCAGGGATCCAGGAATTTTTCAGAGACTTTATTGCAGTAGCATCTTGTCCAATGTTGAACCAGCATTTATGTGACACTTTCTCTGCTAAAGTTCTAGAATTAAACGAGACATCGTTTACTCACCATGATGAAGAGGATGCTCCTACATCTAATGGTGATGATGAGGTAATGTATAGGGGGGGATAATTCATAGGAGAGGGGGTAATTTGTAGGTGATAAATAGACAAGGGAGGTAATTTATAGGGTATAGTTATGCTTTATGAGTGAGACTAAAAAAGGATTGGAGCGCGACACTAAATACTGTATTCTGGTATACACTGGAAAAAGCACTTGAATGATTAAATGCCAATACTTTTTCACCCATCGAAATGAACTTTAAAACATCTTATTCATCTTTTCACATAGATTTATCTACGATAATGAATGAAAAATGTAAGAATTGGAAGAAAAAACAATATTTGTCTATTTTGTGATCATGATTTCTGTGAGCGTGTGGAGGTACTGCTCCAGTTCTGTATTGAATTAAATCCATGCTTTATAAAGTAAAACAAGTTGAATTTTTAGGGGAAGTGCAAAATGTGAAATGATTATGTATTAAACAGGACAAGGAATTTACGTTTGGATTTAAAAGAAATAAGCTTATGATGAGAGAATTCAGAAAAATACTGAAGATTGTTTTATGAAATAAGATGAATTATAAAAATAGAGCAGTATTTTGTTTGATAATAATCATCCGAAACATGTATGCAATTAGTCTGTAAGAAAATACAATAAAGTAGATGGTATTATCTGAAGGCAGTCACTATCTACAAAATAATCAAACCATGTTATGTAAAAGGAATTTATCACATATAATGTAATAACATTTTGACTTAACACATAAACATAAAGTTAAAGCGTGCTAATGTTAGCGTTACACTATAGGTGCACCATTAAAAAAAACCCTCTTTTTAACAGTTTACCATTCTTACAATATATGTGATAAATAGAATATGATATTCGTGTAGACTCAATACTAAATTTATTGAACTCATTGAATAAAACAATATAATGCTTGCCAGAGGCTCGCATAATATGATTTTTTTCAACTTGTTCAATAAATTTAGTATTAAACCTACACTTCTTGAATATCCTCTATTTATGACATTGTAATTAATTATCAAATATCGCATGATGTTAATATATCTGTATTTTTCAGGAGAACGATTTGTTTGTTACAGTTCTGTTAAGTGTAAGACTGGTCGGGAAATTTCTCGGTTTTGTTACATTTTTACCATACCAGTCCCCAGACAGAATGCCAGATAGTATGGAGACCACATATATCACCATCAGAAATAAGGTAACATTACCGCAAGCTCTGATTTTTGGGATTAAGGCATTTTGAGCGTTTATGAACATTTAAGTCAGCATTTCATGTCTTAGCTTGTTGATTCAAATTTCTCAATTTTTGGCCGGGTTGCACTGGTGCAAACCCGGGTTATAGTATGGTGAATGTTAGGAGGCGGGTGGGAGGGCGTCCGGACGGGGAAAAACTTTTGTTACAGTTTTCTCAGCAACTACTTATCAAAGCCTTTTGATATTTGGTATACAGCATCAACACATGGTCCCATACTGTGGGATTCGATTTCAGGTCTGTCGCTCATCTGCTTCCTGTTTGCCGACTTAGTTAAATTTTCAACATTAATGGTCAATAGTAGGAAATTTTCGTAACAGTTTTCTCAACAACTACTTACCACAGCCTCTTGATAGTGGTTCACAGCATTGACATGACTGTGGTCCCATATTGTGGGGTTCCATTTCAGGTCTGATGCTCATTCTTTTCCAGTTTACCAACTAAGTTAAATTTTCAACATAAATGGTCAGACAGTGGTAGAAAATTTAAGTAACATCACAGCCTCATGATATTTTGTTTACATATGCAACCAGGCCTTTTCTGTCTTTGACCCATTTTTCTAAATATGCATTGCTCATTGTTCATTCTAAAATTTCAAGACCATTTTTCATTCTATATAATATGTTTAACTGTTTTAAAACTTTAATTGTCTGTTCATTCAGCTAGCTTATGAAACATCAGTGGTTCTACTAACTAGTATGCCCATTTGTGTCTGAAATTTTTCACAGAGGGGTACCTGTAGCTTGCCTATGATAGTAAAGCTGGAAAGTCACCTTTAATGTGTTTGTGCAACTTAACCCTTCTCCCCCCAAAAAATAAGATAAAATAAAAAATAAAATAAAAGAATATATAAAAAAACAAGTTTTTGTGTTGTAATGATTATTTGTTATCTTAATGAGTTTTGTTTTTATGAATGTTACAGCACCAACCATCTATAGACCTGTTAGAGTGTTTACAATCAGCTGTTACTAGAGGCACATTATGTCTGACAGTACCCTGGGTGGTAGAATACTTGTCGTTGATGGATCCACTGGCACCAAGGCTTGATCACTACCAGACTGTCCTATACCTGATACTCTACATTCATAGGTTTGTTGACCTCTTTCTATGAGCATGGGTGAGTCTAAATTGAAAAATATAATATTATTTTCATAGTGTAGAAAAAAATATGATAGTTTATATGACGAACATCAATCTATAGTAATTATTGATAAAATTTAATTGCATGAATGCTAACTCTGAGATTATCATTTCTTTTACATGTTATAATTTCTTAAATTGATATAACTTTATTTAGAAGGCGGCATTGCAAATACTTTTGTCAAGTTTTTCGTACCACTACACCCTTGTTTAAACCCATTAAGAAGTTGCTTTTAAAGATTTGTAATGATTGTTTGTGACCATCATCCCAAGTTCTTGGCAAAAAGGCATAACTTCGTTTGTAGATTTTGACAACATCATCACTCAGTAAATACAGGAAATAACAGTTAAAGGGACTCCACTGAGGATTTTTGACATGATTGGGCTGAAAATATTTTTTCCAGATAATTGTACCATTTGATGTAGGTTAAGACCACTAATCTTTGTGCACAATTTCAGATCATTCGCGCACACCGTTTTTCCAGAATAATTATTCAAATTGTAAAAAACTGACCCAAACTGAAAAGCGTTGAAACGCTTTTCACTCAAATTAGGCTAAAAAAAGCATAAAAATACGATTTTCAATTTATTTCAAAGTATATTTCTTAACTATCTTTGCATATATTACTGTTTAAAGAGCCCCAGCTCATTTATGTAAGAAATTCAAATGTTATGTTTTTAGACTTTTAAACCTCAGTGGAGTCCCTTTAACTTTTTAGTACCACCCCACTTCTTTTCTGTACCTTCATTTTCTACCATCGAGTACATGTATTTGTAATAGACAAGGTTATGTTAATTGTATTATTTGTATATGTACAGGTATGTGTGGTCGCAGTTACAAGATGAGATGAGTTATGGGAGTTTAATGGTTGTGGCAATGATAAGCTGGTTACTTGAGGTATAACAATTTATTAATTTAAACCATAAGTAGGAGAGGTTAAGGTGTCTGCCTCTCAACCCAGGGATAGTGAGTTTGAGCCCTAATTGGGTCAGGATCATGATCCCTCATATGACACCAGTACTGGTTAGTTCCAGGAAGTGGACTCGAAAGTGATTAATATAAGTTGCAAGAATTTGTTTCGCAGTCAAGCAAAAATAAATATGATTTTAAAAAAAGTAAACTAATTTAAACCTTATCCATACAAAATTAATGAAACTCTTGTCATGCTAGATTTTTATAATAGACTTGTCATGCTGTGACAGTGTTACCTTAATAATGAAGGATTTTTACGTCGAAATGCTAAAATTTATTAGCCAACAATTTAGCATCTGGTTTGAGCAGACGGGCCTGAATATATTCTATAAGCAATGACTAGTCATTTTCATTGATATTTTTCAAAATGTTAGGATATTTTCATGCAGTATTTTTTCTCTTGAATTATGATATATTATGTTTGAAATATCTTACATGATATCAGCTTAACTTCTTGCTCATACTCAGGAATTTTCACTTGTCACTGCATCTGTGTAAAGCCAAGCCAGAGGGTGAATATTTTTTACAACACATAAACCGCGGCACAGGGGTGTAATGAAGCCATTTAATAAAAACGATATTACACTAGTGTAATAACACTTTGACATGACATCATTTGCACTATAAGCGCGCTAATGTTTGTGTTACACTAGGCACGTCAATGAAAAATGACTTGTTTTAACTGTAAAGCGTTCTCTTTTTGAATATGTGATAAATAGAATATTAAATTCGTGTAGATTCAATACTAGTTTTATTGAACTTGTTGAATAAAACAATATTATATTCGCCAGAGGCTCACATAATATGATTTTATTCTACTTGTTCAATAAATTTAGTATTAAACTTTTTACTTACACTCATTTAATATTCTCTATATATTTGAAATGGTATGTGTTATTTATTGTTGTATTTTAGAACTCTGTGATACCAGATGGTTTGTTTTTCATGGAGATACCAGAAAACACTGTACAGAAAATACAGGACTGTTTCCCAAGTCTTGCTTCAATGGTATGAACCTTCAGACCTTGTGATATTATCATTATAAATACTTCTATTAATTAGTTTATACAAATTTATTTTAGTTCAATTGTGTTGGAAGCTATAACCTTATTGAAAGTCATGAATCCATTCCTTGAAACAACCAGTTCTAAGCAATGAATGTAAAGTTGCTTGCTCATGGAAACAACTGCTTGCCCCTGACAGGGTTTAGGTTTGAACCCACATGGTCAGCAATCCTTAGATTACTAGTCTGACATGTTAACCAATAGGCCACTCCGCTCTTCTATTAATCTACTTATTGAGTATGGTAGCAGCTTATTTTCTGTCCTGGCTATACTGTGGAGTGTGATGATTGATAGGTGTTTTAAGGCAGAGAGCATATGCCCTTTTGGCATATATCTCAAATTTCTCCCTGTCAAGAAACTCAACCGAGACTTTGCTTAGATACTCGAGGAATAACATTGAAACTGCTTCTAGACTATCTTGACTTTATAAGGTTATTGATAGACCATGTGTCATCAGTTAACAAATCATACCAGTAAGGAAGTAAAACAAAAATACGACATTTCAAACACAAGGATGAGTTTATGGCTTTAATAATATTAATAATTACTACTAGTTTTGGCCTGTATGAGCCTCAACAGGTTAAAGTACTACAAAAATTTATAACTGAAGTAAATAAAATATAAATGACTAAAGGCCACATGATTAGCTTTAAATCATGTAAGAAAATAACACCTGTTTGAATTTGTTATTTTCAGGACAATCGTAACTTTGTGGATCAAAGTCTTTTCTATAAATGTTGTCCGTATGTTGGAGAGATAAAGACACTGCTGGTTGATTTTACTGTAGGAAGTAGTAGTAAAGTAAGCAATGTTAGAAAGATTACACCAATATCAGCTGATATACCAGTACAGAAATCTCTCACTGACAGACAACTACAGGTAAATATTCTACCTTCTTATGCATATATTAATCTTGTAAAATACACTTGTAATTTTTGTTTTTTGTTTTATTTCAATAAATTTATTATAATAAATCATAACGTTTTTTTATATTACTAAAAGTTGCTGAAAAAGCACCAACACTTGACTTATCATTCATTTTACAGATAGGTAATTTTTATTCAAAAGGAAAACTAGTCTTCCAATGTAATAAGTGAGCAGTAATATTATGGAGAGTAACAAAAATGATCTTTTGACCTTGTAATCTCATAACATTAATTGATTTTATACAAGCCAATACTCTAATTCATTACAATTCATCCCGCTAAGTTCAGTAGAAAGTGCATGGGAAGCATTGGGCTAGTGGTTAAGGTGTCTGCCTCTCAACCCAGAGATCATAGGTTCAAGCCCTAATCGTGTCAGGACCATATTTCCTCATATGACATCAGTACTGGTTGGTTCCAGGAAGTGGACTCTTAAGTGAATAATATAAGTTGCAAGAACTTGTTTCCCAATCGAGCTTAGATAAATATGTTTCAACCAATAGGAAGAGCATGATATTTGGAACCCATGAACCATTGGGTCGATCCCTCCTTTTGCTCTTATGGCTGATTCAGATATCATGTAGGATTACTATAGTGTATCACTTGATTATGTGGAATGACTGCTGAGATATCGCCAAAATTATTTTACAATTGGAGTAAACTCCAGACAAAGAAACATGAATGAATGGAATGAAATTTTGATATTGTTCTATATTTATTTCTTTATGTAGTTACAAATGGAGGAGAATTTTTTCCACAATCACCCAGCCTCTATGAAGAGGGTCATCGACTTTGTTGCTGATCGAACAGCTTCCAACTTTATCAAGAATTTCCGAGCAACTTTATTACAGGAGTCAGTAGTGGAGGGGAAAGACAAAGTTGTAAAGCAAATGTTAACACTACCTGAGGGTTCTCCAACTAGCAAAATGAAAGTAAGTCTTAACTGGATATTGAATTAGATTAAATTATATATAAAAGTTAAGGATGTTTTATGTATGTGTGTTGTTTTGGAGCAATTGTTATATAGTTATTTCTCATTGAGATGTGAGAAATTTCAATACTTTGCAATTTAGATATTTTCTGACTTCAATGAAAGATAAATTTTAAAAGCACAAGCAAAAGTAATTAGTTTATAGTTATCATAGAAGTGTAACTTTTTACTATTATAGCAAAGTAATGATATACAATCCAGAAATATGCCACAAGAAACAAATATATTTTTTTATGTAAATGAACACAACCATAAAAATATTATGTGCATGCCAACAAAATGTTCATCAAAGCTCTGTTATTCAGAGTGAGTGATATTGATTTTATTTCACTGACGAAACCCAGTATTTCATGATTAGTATAAAATAGAAGATTATAATAAATTTTTGACACTCTAACTAGTCCTTTTGTGGATTTAGATGAATACATAATTATTTTGATAAAAGCTAAAGTATTGAGTATTTGGCAAGAGATAGGGTGATATCTTTTATATATATCAGAGACTTCCAGTTAGACTTCTAGTATATGAACATAAATATCTATGAGCTACTGATGTAAGCAAAGACATTTACATGATTAAATATTATGAAAGTTTTACCTTTACATTGGATCGGGAAAACCAACTATATAGACTGTACTGTACTTACTTTAGGCATTTTTATGGTTTTGCTGTTTTACGAGTCCTTAACATAGTACACTTCATGGAATACTTTTTAATTGAAATGTATTTTGTGAATATATGTTTTCAGGCATATTTCTCAGGTTGTGGTACATTTTCAAGTATAAATGTATTTTACTTGGTTTTGTTATTGTTTGTAGGATAGAGTGTTACAAGTTACCAATAAAGTGGCGCAGGAATTGTACACTAAAGTGAGGACAAGTGTACTTACTGAAGCTCCAAAGTGAGTTTTATACAATATTTTGTAATTTTGATTTTGAATAAAAGTAAATTCCTGACAGAAAGTATTTCTCCCTTTCTTCTATCATGAAAAAAAACAATTCATCACCTTTCAGCTTGTTTTTAGTTTAATAATATTTTATTGCAACTATATAACTTGTAAGATATGAATAACACAAAAACAAATGTACATATAAGTATAGTGCAAATGGGCTACAAGTTTCAGCTTGTTTAACCCTTTCCACATGAAAAAATCTTGAATGAACTTGTCCATCTTTTAATATGGACAAAACCATGCATAATTTTTAGGGAAAATTTCAAAGTATGAACTCACTGAAAAGCTAACAGTAGAAAGCAAGAACAGCTGGCTTACCTTGATCTGCATTGGTTCATGAATATATTCAGAGATTACCAGTGGGTCAAGGGTTAAAAAATACCATGCAGTTATGTTTAATATATGTCATTTCTACAAGAATTTTTTAATTTAAATGAATTTGCCAATATAGTGTATTCTAATATTCATCATAGTTATAAGACATTTAGATATTTATCATTGTGGGTTATCAGCCTCTTTCTGAAAAATTCAAGCTTAAAGCACTTGACTCACTCTGATATATATTTTATGATAAACCATTCAAAGTTCAAAGGTTTTTTTGTACAATAGTTAACATAGACTGTGTATATTTTTCTTAACAGATACTGCCTGAACAGGATACCAGTCTTGTTGACAATGCTGTTACCCGACGACCAGTCTAAAGTTGTTCTAGAAATGGCGGCAAAAATCTCAGAAAGAATTGCGGAGGAGAAAGTCATGAGTTGGTTAAATAAACACATCTCAACAGGTATTTAACCCTTAACTTGCTGAATTTCTTAAATTCCATTTTGGAAAAGTCCATTATAAATTTCAGAGGATATCAAGTTGAGAATTTTAAGTTGGCCAGCCAACAGGATAGAGCCTGGTCAGACTGCACAGATGTGCAGGCTGGTCTGGCTCTATACTTTGGCAAAGACTAATCACTTTCGCTTTTAAAAGCGTTAAGGTTAACATTCCATGATATCTCTGTTGGTCTACGTTATTTTTTGTTTCCAACAAAAATTTGCATGTGGATATATACGATGGAGCAAAATTAAATTTTGTTTTAATGTTTAAGATCAGTACAAGTTTATTCTGTAAGTTCTGTATCATAGTATAGTGGAGAAAACTGAAGTTAGCACCAAATTATTTATTTTAAAATAGGTGGAAAGATACTCTTACTAAGAGATTAATTTGGACTGCTAGTGGGACAATAATGCTTTTGCTATAGCTACTTTTGTCTCAAAAATCATTTAACTTATCACATTGAATGTGAATATCATGTTGTTTTTTTCATTGTAACAAATATTTAGAAACTAGAAATACCTATTTACTAAACTGCTATAATTCCGGAACTGAATTACATAAGTTTTATGAATTACTTTCATCAAATGATTATTTTGTAATTAAGTAAATCTCTGCTTATACTTATCATCTCATAATCTCTATAGCACAGTAGGTAATTAAATGTAATAAAAATATGTCAAAACTTGTTAACGACACAACCTTATAATGTTAAATATCACATTTTGTACGATACATGTATGTATTTTTGGCCGGTGGCCTTTATTAACTGAATAAATCTTTTGACTTGACTTGACTTGACTAATAACTTGCTTTTACCAATCATTATATGACATTGTATAAAGATAATTTGCATTCCTTGTGTTGACATTTCAGCCATGTATCAGACAGAGATTTCACCTGATATAGAGAAGTTAACAAAATCGATGAGTTCATCAAATTTAAAAGAAGTACCCAGTCCAAGTAATAAATCTGTAGCACAGTCTGTAGACAATAACACAGGGACACAGTCTGGAGAAACTGGTCACATGATTGGTACTTTATTGCCAGTGAACCATGATGAAACATTAAAGCATCCATCAGAAGTATTGATAGAATTTAAGGTATTATGACATTTTAAGTACAAGTATATTTGCTATTTTTAGCTCGATTATTCGCAGAATAATCGAGCTAATGCAGTCACCCATTTGTCGGCGTCGGCGTCCCTGTGGTTAAGTTTTTGCGTGCAAGCTGGTATCTCCATAACTACTGAAGGGAATGGATTGAAACTTCACACACTTGTTCTCTGTGATTATCTAGAATGATTGGCACAGGTCCCATAACTCTGATTTGCTTTTTTGCATAATTATGCCCCTTTTTCGACTTAGAAATTCTTGGTTAAGTTTTTCTGTGTAAGCTGGTATCTCCATAACTACTGAAGGGAATGGATTGAAACTTCACACACTTGTTTTCTGTGATTATCTAACATGATTGGAATAAGTCCCATAACTCTGAATTACTTTTTTGCATAATAATGCCCCTTTTTCGACTTAGAAATTCTTGCTTAAGCAAATATCTCCATAACTACTGAAGGGTTTGTGCCTTTTTTTGAACAATTTTATGCATTTTATAATAATAAGGCAGTGTTTAACTCGATAAAACATCTTAATAACAAGCCTTTGTACCTTTTTGGACAATTTTATGTATTCATATAGGTAAGCATTATTATACTCAATGAAACACACTTGTGACAACTTTTCGAATAGTCGAGCGTAACTGTCCTCCGACAGTTCTTGTTTACTCTTCAGCATATCTGTTTTATTTGTCAGTATGACATGTACATGTACATAATAATAACACAAAAGAATATCATAATTTCTATATTATTTCTCTCCTACTTGTTAAAAAAATAAGTTTTCAGTTAGAGAGACCAATGACTTGTAAGCACTGCCAACTTAACAAAGATGTTTGGCATATTAATAAATTTTGTACCTTGAATCTTAGATAGATTTATTTCAACCAAAATATTTAAATGACAGCATGTTTTATACACACTATAAAATGAAAACATGTGCATGTAAAAACAAAATCAAAGCTATGTCAATCAACATTATATGTGTAGGCTTACAAAAAAGGAGTTTCTGAGTTAAAGTGTAATTTTCAATATGTTCATTAAACTCTGCTTTCCATTGTGGAAAAGGGTTATTAATTCACTGATAAAATATATGAATTGTGAATAATAATAAACTCCTCTATAGATTTATTTGCAGATTGAGAATATTTGTATTTTTTCAGGATTGTATAAAGAATTTAACATTGTTAGCCTGGTCCCTGGTTATGTACAGTTTGAGTATATTTTTGTTTTCAGGATTGTATAAAGAATTTAACATTGAGTGGCTGGCCCTTGGCTGTGCACAGATTGAATAAATTTGTGTTTTCAGGATTGTATAAAGAATTTAACATTGAGTGGCTGGCCCTTGGCTGTGCACAGATTGAATAAATTTGTGTTTTCAGGATTGTATAAAGAATTTAACATTGAGTGGCTGGCCCTTGGCTGTGCACAGATTGAATAAATTTGTGTTTTCAGGATTGTATAAAGAATTTAACATTGAGGGGCTGGTCTCTGGCTGTGCACAGATTGAATAAATTTGTGTTTTCAGGATTGTATAAAGAATTTAACATTGAGGGGCTGGTCCCTGGCTGTGTACAGATTGAATAAATTTGTGTTTTCAGGATTGTATAAAGAATTTAACATTGAGTGGCTGCCCTTGGCTGTGCACAGATTGAATAAATTTGTGTTTTCAGGATTGTATAAAGAATTTAACATTGAGTGGCTGGCCCTTGGCTGTGCACAGATTGAATAAATTTGTGTTTTCAGGATTGTATAAAGAATTTAACATTGAGGGGCTGGTCCCTGGCTGTGTACAGATTGAATAAATTTGTGTTTTTCAGGATTGTATAAAGAATTTAACATTGAGGGGCTGGTCCCTGGCTGTGTACAGATTGAATAAATTTGTGTTTTCAGGATTGTATAAAGAATTTAACATTGAGTGGCTGGCCCTTGGCTGTGCACAGATTGAATAAATGTGTGTTTTCAGGATTGTATAAAGAATTTAACATTGAGTGGCTGGCCCTTGGCTACGTACAGATTGAGTATATTTTTGTTTTCAGGATTGTATAAAGAATTTAACTTTGAGTGACTGGTCCCTGGCTATGTACAGATTGAGTTAATTTGTATTTTCAGGATTGTATAAAGAATTTAACATTTAGGGACTGGTCTCTGGCTACGTACAGATTGAGTATACATTGTGTATTTTTGATTTCAGGATTGTATAAAGAATTTATTATTGCGGGGCTGGTCCCTGGCTGTGCACAGATTGAGTAAATTTGTATTTTCAGGATTGTATAAAGAATTTAACATTGAGGGGCTGGTCCCTGGCTGATGAAAGGATTGAAGATATTCTATCACAGGTGAAGCAAACAATGGAGCACAGAAAGGACATCCTACCTTCTGTACATAGATCTTTCACACAACTTACTGTAGAACTAGTCATCTCTATATGTAAGTTTTTTATCTTGGGACTTGGGTAAGATATTCTTCTTAGCGGCGTCCATGGCCGAGTGGTTAAGATCTTTGACTTCAAACCACTTGGCAGTGGGTTTGGATCCCGCCAGGGACTTTGGATTCATTCATGTGAGGAAGCTATCAAGTTAGCTTGCTGAAAGTCGGTTTTTCTACTCAGGTGCTCTTTGTGTCTGAAATAATGCACGGAGGTGCACCCAAGACTAACAAATTTCACCAATAACATATTTTTCATGATCACTTAAAAACTTCTTTTTACCTTGACTCTTGTATTCTTATAAATTGGAGAGCTATCCTACTCACCCAGGGGTCAGCTTCTGTTAAGTTTTTTTGTACCACCCCACTTATTTGCTCTAGTCCAATGCCCTTTGAGGTGTTGCTTTTAAACTCTGAAATACTTGTCAGTGACCAAGGTCCCATGTTCAGGACAACAGGACATAAATCTGTCATGAATTTTACCATGTCAGACACCTTTTTTCGACTTAAAATTTTAGATAAGTTTTTTTTTATAGCACTCCACTTGTATTGTATACCCCTTGAGGTATTACTTTGAAACTTTAGATACTTGATACTACACATCATCCTTAGGGGTTGCCTTAAAAGGTTGAGGTATCAGAATTGTAGCCACGGTTTTTCCCTGCATCATCATAAAAGGCGGCTAAATTGGTTCGAAAAACTGGAGTCTATGTATCTCTGCTCCAGCAGGTGAGGTGGTTTTGACCCCTGATGTTGCTTTAAGTTTGTGACACAGAAAGTTAGCCTAAGTCATCTTTATTGCTTTGGCGCCATATGATCTAAATTGTGTTGATGCACTGCAAAACCAAACAAAACAAATTAACATCTCCCAAGCAAGAAGACATAGCTCTGTCTTGAATTTTTAAAAAATGCCACTTTTTAAACCTAGAATTTCATTAAATTTTTTCGTACTACCCCTCTTATTTCCTTCACTCGTTTCAGGTATTGCTTTGAAACTTTAAATTCTTGTTAGTGACCATCATTCCCACTTTCAGGCAAGCACTTATAATATTTGAGGATGCTGTATTACTAATTATTTAATATGACAATATTTATCTCTAATCCTGAATATGTTTATATTCCCAGTGTTAATGCAGCCAGCTTCCTATTCTACTACATTGATAGAGACCTGTTTGAAGCTGTGGAAGTCTTGTTTGTTTGATGTATCAACTATAAATCTGATATTCTCTGGCAGAATTATCTTTTTGATACAATCAGTTGAGAAACCAGAGGTACAGATTTGTTATAGTAGTACTGTATAATCAGAAATTTTTGCAAGTATTTTGATTTTGCTAATTTCGCAGTTGAAGATTTTCGTAAAAATAAATGTTCCCTAAGTATCATTCAACAGAGCTGAAAGACAAGAAGTCACAAAATTTAATATTTAATCTGGCCAATAATTTTTGTGTGCAAAAATATCTGATATTACAATTTCGAAATTAGGTTTTTTTAAATCACTGAATTTCTACATCTGATAACTTATTTACCTATTAGAAAAATAAAATTTACACAAATATGGTGGTATTTGGCTTTAATGATGAATAAAGACCAAAGGTAGCACCTAACATCTACAGTCACCTAATTGAATTCAATATCATGGGCTAGATTTAAAGATAACAAGTTTTTCAATGAGAACAAAATACAGAAAGTTTGAAAGTTTTAACATACAGAACATCAGTTATTTGACAATACATTGTGTATTTTATTATTTACAATAATTTATAATTTATTTACAATAGATCGTATTTTAATTGAAAATGTTGGTTTAATTTAATTTTACATGTGTTTTAATTTAAGATTGTCTGGAAGGAATACACAAAATTGCTATCATTGTTGTATAAGGAAGATATTATCAAACCTAGTATGGTACAAGAAACTGGGCTCAAGTTTATCCCCTATATACAGGTAAAGTTACCATCAACTGTTTGCTAACAGTTCGTTTTTCCCATTGTTACGAAATAAATTTAGAAAAGTAATATATTAATACCTAAAATAGTTAGAAAATGTTTCTGAGAGAAAAATGTTGTAATATTGGCATGACAAAGTCAGACACCTAACTTTATGATCTGAGGAATTAATAAGAAAAAGATATGGTTCTAGCATTGAATAGATTCATTGAAATTCATCCAAACTATATTAAAATTCTACCAGACTTATTTAAATAACCTTTTCCTGATTAGTTTTAAAGATGTTCTGGGTCCATTTGCAATCAAACTATGGTAATGAAAATTTATAAATTGTTAAAAAAAAGACCATCATTCTAAAATCATTCAACTATAATGGTAAGTTAATGACAAACAGTCATATAAAATTTTTAGTGAATATCATAGTATAAAGTCTTTAGTGAGTATCAGGGGCGTCCATGGCAGAGTGGTTAAGGTCGTTGACTTCAAACCACTTGCCCCTTACTGCTGTGGGTTCGAATCCTGACAGGGACTTTGGATTCTTTCATGTGAGGAAGCTATCCAGCTAGTTAACGGATCATCAGTGGTTCTTTTCAGGTGCCCATTCGTGCCTGAAATAATGCACAGAAGGATACCTGAGGTCCTCCTCCATCAGTAAAGCTGGAGTGTCGCCATATGACCTATACTGTGTCAGTGTGACGTAAAACCCAATTAAACAAACAAACAAATTTAGTGAGTATCAAAATGTCTGATGATAAATAAAGTTGATTAAATAATAAAATTTGTTTTTATAACAGTATCATGTCTATTTTTCCCCGGAAAATTTTAATTTTTAACAAGGATGGTTTAAATTCTTTTTTATTAAAGTGCCAAAAATTCCGATTTTAGCGGGCAAAATTTGGGTGCTTGTCTAAAATTAAATTTGCCCTATACCCAAAAATCCTAATTTTTAAATCCGGGTTTCCCACCCATGTAACTGGAAAAGACATGAAAAGCTTGGGTTGTTTTTTGGTGTTTTTTATAATTTTGAATCCGCAGATTTAAAAATTTTGAAAATTTGGTTGACCACCATTTTTAAAAAGGGTCTCTGGTGTTTTGAGGTTTGGATGTTTAAAAAGGTCTCTGGCCATGTTTTAGAGGTCTCTAGCCATAATTTAGAGGTCTATGGTCATGTTTTTAGAGGTCTCTAGCCATGTTTTAGAGGTCTCTGGCCATGTTTTAGAGGTCTCTGGCCATGTTATTAGAGGTCTCTGGCCATGTTTTAGAGGTCTCTAGCCATGTTTTAGAGGTCTCTGGCCATGTTTTAGAGGTCTCTGGTCATGTTTTAGAGGTCTCTGGTATGTTTTAGAGGTCTCTGTCCATGTTTAAGAGGTCTCTGGTCATGTTTTAGAGGTCTCTGGTCATGTTTAAGTGGTCTCTGGTCATGTTTATGTGATCTCTAACTGTCTGCTTTAAGAATGGACAAGTCATTGTTACAAGAACTCAATGAAATACTAGTAGTCATATTTAAATATAATTGCTAACAAGACTTTTCTTACTCTACATGTTTGTAAGGTACAAATGTATATACATGTATAATCACGTTGCCAACCATACTGTGTTCAACAACAATAATATTGTGTTCATTGTAAAATTATATACATGTATTTTCTGTTTAAATTATGTGTTCACTTTAAGTTTAAATAATGTGTTCACTGTAGTTGTCATTCTATCAGATATGTACTAAAAGTACAGAGAAGTAATGATATTATTATTTACGTGAATTCTTTTACATCATTAAATTATTAAAGTGAAATGTTTGTTTATAACTGGCATTACTCTAGATCTGTTTTTTATTTAAAACTGAGGGATATTCCCAATATTGAGATAAATCATAATTATATGCTGCGTCACGACAAAATCAACATGCGACTAGCAAGTATCCAGACCAGCCTGCGCATCCGCACAGTCTGATCAGGATCCATGCTGTTCGCTAACAGTTTCTCTACTTGTTATAGGGTTTGTAAGCGAACAGCATGGATCCTGATCAGACTGCACGGATGCGCAGGCTGGTCTGGATCCATGCTGGTCGCAAAGCCACTATGTTGGTTTTGTCGTGACGCGGCTCATTATTATTATATGTTTTGACTAAAATCTCATTGATGTCATTTTGATTACAGTTTGACATAAACTTGGTTAAGGGTATTGTAAACACATGCTACTTATTGTTATATATATTATCATTTTCTTGGTGCACTTTTGAAATTTCATAATTGTCTTTCAGTTGTATGAACTTTGTTAAAGTAATAAATTCATTGATAACCAATATTCTGTGATAAATATAGATAGTATCATTTTGTGAATAATGTAACAGATAAAATCATGAATAAATTATAGAAGGAGATGTTTTGTTTCGTTATTTACTTTATATTGGTGCTATTGATTTATATTATGTGTATAACTGTGCCATCAATATTGCATGAGAATCTGTCTTGTGATTTATATAAATACAGTATTCTTTACTATTGAAAGAATAAGGAGAGCTTTCCTAGTCCTCTGAGCGTCGGCGTAACCACTTATGTTATAGTTTGCGTACCACTTCAAATACTTTCAAGGTCTCTTGACATATACATGTATGGCTTTGAAACTGCACTATATTTCACCATCATGCCTCCATCCTGTAGACAGAAGGAGGTAACTCTGTTAAGCATTTTGACAGAATTATGCACTTTTTTCGACTTGGAATTTACGTTAAAGTTTTTGTAATACCTCAAATATTTTCAAAGTCCATTGACATATGGCTTTGAGACTTTGCACACTTCTTCACAGTCATAATTTTGACTTGTGTAAAGAAAGAGGTCACTGTATAAAACCTTTTAACAATATTATTCCCCATTACTATCAAGTACTGAGAATAGTCGAGCTTGAATAAGCGGACCATAAAAATGATGAAATACTTAAAAAACTTATGGCAGAAAACAAAACCTTGACCGTCTTTTGTATTGGTTTTCTAGCCTACACAGAAAGGGTCATAAGTGGTTAAGGACGTTGACTTAAAATTACTTGTCCCTCACTGCTGTGTGTTTGAATCCTGGAGACTTTAGACTATTTTATGCGAGGAAGCTTTCCAACTAGCGCATGGAACGTCGGTGGTTCAACTCGGTTGCCAAATAGTACACAAATGGGCACCTGAGATCTTCCTTCACAAGTGAAGCTGAAAAGTCACCATATGACCTATACAAACATACATACATAAAATCCAACCCACAAAAAGTCATGTGGTGTTAGCTAGATGATGCAAATAAACAACATAATGACCACTGTGTATGTATTTACCATTTAGAATAGCTTTTATTATATTTCTTACCAATTTTTACAGAAAAAACAAAACAATTATTACCCATTACATTTAAATAATACAATAAAATTCCAATATAAAAAATATATGAAAGAAACCAAAAAATGTAAAAAAGCAGTGTTCTAATATTTATTTTTGAAAACAAAATTTGGACGATTAAGCAAAATTCAAGCATCAAATTAAGAAAAACTTATGTGAGCAGGACCTTTCAAAAAGATTTTCTATTTACAAAAAAATAGCATGTAAAGAAAAAGAAATTTATGTAAAACAACAGAATTTAAATATATGAGAAAAAACAAATATCATAATAAAAATACTAGTAAACGATAAACAAAATGATGTAAAAGAGCAGTATCCAAATTCTAATATAAGAAAACAAATTGATGTAAAACAAAATCCAAATTAATGTTGAAACATTTAAAATACTACATGTATAATATACTACATAGTAATAACGCTCATATTCCGAACAAAAACATGAATATTGTAAAAATAACGAGTACATATTAAAGTAATAGGTATAAATTATTCACAACAAAACATGTAACTGTAAAAGGTAAAGTTCATATTAATGTTAATTAAACAACATTTATTTAGATGGCAACGGTTCAGCAAAATTACAACAAAAATAACAATTACATGGCCTGCCAAGCTTATGACTTGATTCACTATGATGTCTGGACATATTACACACAAAACAAAAAATCCACAACTTGTGATCAAAGGCACTTGGTTTCGGGATAAAAATCCTTGTGAGAGGTTTGTAGAAGTCAGCTTTGATTGAATGTAACGATTTTTTAATGTAGATGTCTCGATTCTAAAAACATCATTTTTAGTAACATCGGAAAAATGACCTTTTTAGAAATGAGACATCTACGTTTAAAATCGTTAAATTCAATCAAATTTGAGTTCTACATACCTCTCAAAAGGGTATTAATCCCGAAACCAAATGCCTTTGTTCCTGTTGTAGTGTGGTTGCGGCCGTAAAAATGGTCTCGTATCATCATCCCAACGTTAAATGACTAGCCCTTTCTATAATCTTGGTTTGGCTTGACATTGTACAAACATTTCACGGTATAGCTTTAAAGTAATATACATTAATTAATAAGGGTTTTAATACACAACAGACAATTGATGGCATAGGATTCCAATTGCTTAATATTGCAAGTACGACAGACAAACAAGCACAATATGAAATATATACAATACAAAACACACTGACTGTATGTATACTAGTACAGCAGCTAAGTTTGTGTAAACAGCCGTTCCAGCTTAATTTGCAAATAGGAGTTTTTTGCAATCTGATTTAAATCAGCTCTAAATGATGTTCCGCTTTTAGATCTGACCGTAACCACAAACAAAATCATTTCTGGTGACCTTTCACACAGCCAATCATTGGCGAGCTTTCATAATTTTGAAAGCGATGTGGTTTTTAATTCAACACTGGGAAAACCAATACTGAGAAAGGGTAATTTTAAATTATTTCGAGAAAAAAAAAAAAACATGGGGGGGTTTTTGTTTTTTTTTGTTTTGGGCCGAAAAAAAACCCAATTTTTTTTGGCCCTTTTTTAAATTTTTGGGACTCCATTATTTCAAGTTTATTTGTTAAAAATTACTTCTCACTTTATTTTCTAACAAAAATCAACAGTTTATTTAACTTCAACGGATAACAGTATCATCATCGGATCTACATAAAAAAATAAGTAGATCTGAA